CATCACAAGAGGGTGACTTTAACTTCGGGCCATGCTGAGATACCTAGTTGCTCTAGAGAGTCTCCTTGGAGAAGCTGGGGTGCCTGTAGTCCTCATTGCCTTGAGCCCCAGAAGAGCAGAAGAGGATCTCTTTCCTGCAGCGGAGCATCCCACGAGCATCGTGTTTCTGCCTGGTTTCCTGCACTGAGCTTTGCCATGGTACAAAATCAGAGCTCCCAGGTCTGGGAGGAGGGACAATCAAGGGGTCCCAGCCCCATCAATGGTGAGGAGCAGAGGCAGCTGCCTGCAGCTGGACCCTGGCTGCAGCACTTTGCCCAAGGAGTGAATCCTACCCTGCCTCCCATCATATTAAAGCACAGCAGGACCCTGATTTTAGATGAGACTTCCCATCATCCCTATTGCACATGCCTTCAAAGGGGTTAATTCTGTCTGACAAATGCTGGACACAAGCCACAGACGTGCAGAGCGAGGGTTTTGTGTATGCTGGTAGGAAGAGCCAAGAATACTTGGGGTCCTTGACTACCTGTTGGATCAAGAGACTGGAGAACAATTTGCAACCACAAACACACTTCAATCCCTATCTCATCATTTCCATTGTAATAACTCAGGAAAACCACAAAACAGGGAATGGATTAGTGTTTTACGATCACGATAACATGACCAGCAGCATGCGCAAGGGCAGTGAGACCTTGTCCTCATGTGGGGAAGACCTAAGAAATTCCCAGCAATCATGCTCACGACAGCTTTCTGGTATGGTCCATCTTCATCCAGGATGTGAAGCAGAGACCTCAAGCCAAAGTCTCTGCATGGTCCCCTGGCATGCAGGCATGGCTGCTCAGAGCAAAGCACAGTAAAGCCAGCCTCAACCAGAGAAGGCACCGAGGCACACCAGGAAGGAATTGCTACCCTATGACGCAGACCACAGGTGTAGTAGCTTTTGTCCGACTTCTAACATACCAGTATGAAGCTCTGCCTACTGGTGGTCTGTCCAAAGCATGCTGCCTTAAAACCTTTGCAATTAACCCTTTGCTAACTGCACACAATGATGAAACTGAGCTGGAGGTGGGGGCAAGGTCAGCATGTTGCACAACGTTGGGAGATAGAAGGGTGCAGAGCTGGTGAGTTGCATGGACTAGGAGATGCTCTATAGCAGCCAGTGTTGGCTACACTCATGCATGGACTGTTTTGGTCCATGGCAGGAATAGTCCAAGGCAGCAGCCTGGGTCACTGTACATGCTGTCCTCTCCTCTGAAGTCAATAGCATCACTTGCTCCTGGGCACAGGAGGAGGATAGCTGAGAGCTGGTCATCTCGCAGTGGCTTGGGAGAATCTGCCCCAGATGCTGCAGACACATCTCTCCCAGCAGCTGAACACACCATCAGGACCACAACTGCCTCCTCCCAAACCACAGCAGGGAGGAGGGCTTTCTCTCCTCCTCCACTCCCCTCTCCACCCAGCCCCAAGACCCCTCCTCTCCCCAGCCCCGCCAGTGCTGCCATCTGTTTTTCTACTGATGGCAGGGGATAAGATGTTCCACTGGCCTTCGAGAGGCGAAGTACACTCAGCACTAACTCGTATTCCTGACGGGCTCCTGGAAGGGTTTGCATCCCTCCCTCCTTCACCCGCTGAACTACGTGCCTCCACACTCCAGGGATGGGGAACTTGGCAAGGCACAGCAAGAGACCGGGAGGCAGATGGATGACCAGATTAATGGAAAGAGAAGGGAGGTGGGAGAGGAGCGAGAGGGATGAGGAGGCAGGCTGATCCACTGCCAGCATATGATAAAGATGAGCAAGAATCCCTCTAATGCCATTGCACAGTGACCTGAACTTTCCAATGCGAGGCAGGGCTCCAGCTGAGGCTGGGGAGGTTGAGGCTTGACTACTGCTGCCATGCCCTAGCCTGAAGTGACTCTACCAGGGAGAGATGGTACGAGCAGCCAGGTGGCCTGGATTCCTCTTATGTAGGGTTGTTCCTTTCCCTGAGGCATCCAGATGAGAAAACTTCCTCATCCAACATGCACTCGGCAGTCAATGGAGAGCCAATGGCATCTCTGAGAGGTGACTCAGACCTGAAGTGACCTGGACAGTCCACCGGAACAGTATTTCACTGCCCAGTGGAGAGCAGAGGCTGGGCTCCTAAAGGAGGTGCCTCCAGTGAGGGCTTACTGAGAAGGAACCTGGGACTAAGATGTTCCACAGACATGGCAAGTCAAGCTGAACTACCTCAGACCCCGCAGGGACTATGTTCTGCAGGGGCAAAACATTTCTCATGCAGGCAAAAGAAGGGGAGAACAAGAAAAGGAGATGTGGTGGGCAGACACCATGTAGCAAGGACAGATTACAGGCTATATTCCATCTCTACCCAACTCTCGCTGTCTGATGTCTGCACATCCAGCAAGAGAGAGGGTCCCAAGTGAAATGGCCTCTGAGAATATCAGTGCTTTTCGTCACAAGGATTGAGGCAGGAGAGGAATAGGAATGAGGGTGGAAGCCAGCACAGATGAGGTGGAAACAACATTCAGGGCATTTTCTGTGGTCAAATGAGGGGACTGGTAACATTTCCTTTCTTCCCAGTGCCAAGCAGCAGCTCCCAGAGCAATACTTTGAACAAGACACTTTTGGTAAGAGTTATTCTTTATGGCAAGACAATGACTACTATAAAATACACATGAAAAAATGTTATCTAGGAAGACTTGGCTTATCAGTTCAACCTTAAGAACTTGCAGCATCGTAGAAGAAAACCCAATGAAAAGAATAATCAGACACATATGCGAGAAGTGAGGAGGAGGAGAACAGGGAGGAGGCAGCTATGAGCTGTATCAAAAAGAAGAGCATCAGGGTGAAAGAAACTGAGGATGAATCTTCATTAGTATTACAGTGAGTGACTGTGACCTTAAAAATAGGCCTGTGCTGATGAAATTGCTAACGAGGAAGAAGGCATTGTTCCACAGAGGAGGATCAGGTTATCTGACAAATAGTTAGATGACCCGAAGGACTATAGAGAGAAACAGGATGACATTCACTTGTATAAAATTGAAGGGCAAGCTCTTGTACTGATGGTAAAACATCTGCTGTTAGCTTGGAGCTCATCAGTTGGAAACAAAGGAGGTAGAGAAAGATCTGGGTGTACTTGCTGACCTCAGGATATCTCTGAGCTGCCAGACAGATGCAACTGCAGAAATAACAGATACAGTCCTGGGTCCTATCAAAAGCGACATTTCCAGCACAAGGAAGCTTTGTGCAGGGCTTTGGTGAGACCTCAGCTGGAAGAGTATGTACTGCTAGGTCATTCCTGATGAAAGACTAACGGAGAGCAGAAAGGGCATTAAAAAGTCTACAAGGGTGATGAGCATGGACTCTCCATCTTCTGGTAGGACACCACAAGATTTTGTCTTGTTTAACCTCCTGTATGCTAAGACTGCTGCCTGGGATTGCTTTCTAACAGTAAAAGGGGATGACAAGCATCCAGGAACAGAAAGAGGTCATGTTGGCCGTGAGCATGTTTCGGTGGCCAATGAGAAGACAGTGACTGTTATTGTGAGATGCTGGGACTTCAGGTAGTTGGTCCCTATCTCTCTCTCACACACACACACAAATAAGCTGGCATTGTTCATCATCTCCTACAGGACCTCTTGCTGAAGACACAGACCCAAGGTGAGATGCAGGAACCATAGAGAAGAAAAGGCTGGTGTTGGTCTGGTGTACCTGAGCCTAAAGGAACATCCTCACACCTGTGTCAACTTTCTCTCACCTGAGCTGCACAGGAAGGGATGAAGGAGCACCTCACACCCCATCTGTTTCTTTTTTGTAAGGACCAACTCCCAGAGAGCACAAGGAGTGGTTCTCCCTTGCTAGCAGGAGAACCACAGATAGGATCACCACAACCATCTGGACTGCTCTTCCACATAAGCCCAGCCTATTTTAAATATATTGCCCCAGAGCTCAGCTAAAAGATGTGGTTTAGAAAGACCTGGAGCTCCCAAAACACTGGAGGATCCATTGCTAAGCTCTGATACTCAACCATCAAACACCTCTCGAGCACACAGCAACTCATTCCCCTACAGTTGCAGCCCCTGCCTTGCAGTAGGCAAGCCATCGAGTTTGGGAAATAACTGCTGCGCCTTCTGTTGACCATAACATTTCCTTCCTGGGGTCGTGCCCCCTGCAACATTGCCCTTTCTCCCACACTTCAGTCAACAAAGAGCTGAGCTCGGCAGAATTGGTGAGCAAAAGCGATCATTTGCATTGAAATGAGCACATAAAAAAATAATCAGCAAAACCCAAAGCTATTTTTGGTGCACAAACTTCATTTGCATTTTCCTTTTTGGTAAAAATCCCAAATTTTCAGCATACAACATTCCAAAACACCCCCCCTTTTTACTTTTATCCTCAATCATAGTAACAGCTAGTGCTTGACAAAGACTGCCTATTTTTAATTTCCTTTGCAAACTGACTCCAGGCTGCCTATGATTTTCTCCTGCCTGGTCATTATTTAAAACGAAATGAGCAGCTAACCGATTTCTGCAAGGAATTCTTTGTCTGCAGATTCTTCAGGAGCGGTTTGTTTTGCATGTACAAGGCTGGAAATCTAGTTGTTTTGGTTGGATGTGTGAGTCACACAGGGCTTTTCTGGATCCGTGTTACTCTAGAACTGTGGTTCTGGTTAAGGAAATATTCAGGCTTGGAGTCAGCATGGGCTTTTTGGGGATACCCCTTGCCAGTGAAATCCTTTTGCTAGAACATTCTTCCCAGGCTGGCCAAGAAGAAGCAGGCAAGGAAGGAAATGGGTTATTCTGCAGCTCTCATTCCCCAACATCGCCCTCGCTGTGGGGGACCATACACAAGGATGCTTGCTCTGGTCTCTCTGCTCAGCCAGCAAGCCCTGGCCCAGCTCATGAAGTCAAAGCTATCTGGCTTTGTGCTGGAACAAGTCTTCATTGCCAGGAGCTCTCCTGCAAGGAGCAGACAGCTTGTGCTGGGGGCAGGGGGGGGGCTTACCTCGCACGACTGGATGCAGTGAATGACGGAGGGGTCTGGATACCACCACAGCCTGCCCGTGCACACAATATGCTGAGGAGGGAAGGAGAAAAGAGCTGTTAGGCAAGGCAGCAGAGGGAGGGCAACAGCCACCAATGCTCTCTGGAGGTGGAGGGTCTCCCACAACACTGCATTGCTCATCACAGTGCAGAACAGCAGAGGCACCCCCAGGACCCTCCCTGCACCTCTGCCCAGCAGGAAACCCTTAGAAGCCCATCAAACCCAAGGCAGCTGCACCTGGTTCACCCACAAACCAGGGTACATTGTCCAAGGCAGAGGCTAGATAGACACACACACACATGTCTATGTAGATGTATATATAGATACACAACTGAGAGAGGACAAAGGGAGATGACAGACCACCAGAGAAGTGGGTTTGGCTAGCAGTGCCACCTCACAGTGGCTGACTTGGTCACAAGCTGCTGCTGGGATTAAGTAAGCCGCCCAGGGCCACGACAGGCTGAGTCTGCCATCACCTCTCTGCATGATGCTGGCTTCGCCAGCTTCTTGCTCATACAGGATGGGGAGCTCAGCTGGTCATTAGTTGGTGCCTGCATCAATTTGCTCTTTCACCCCTCAGGCTCTGAGAACCGGGACCCAGGAGGACTCACCTCCCTGGACTTGGCCTGAAGCAGATACACCAGACTCACGTTCACTCATGGGGCTGAGGTTATTGCTAGTATTTACAAGGCACAAACTCACCTGTTGCAGCCAGCTGGACACAAGAGCAAGATGTGAAGGGCTCAGTTTCATTGTGCTGGAACGCATTGTCCCACTTATTCAGTGGGGGTTTGGGGGGGAGCATTCATGATTATACAGGAGGAAGAAAAGCCCCACCGCACATGCAATTTCCTCCTTGTAAAGCTCAGGCAGACTTTGAAATTTGAGGCCCCATAAAACGACAGCTGGCCTGTGAAAGTGTCCTGGGATGCCCTACACAGCGTGGGAGTTGCGCAGAGGGGCACATATGTTTTCTCCTAGACTCCCATTTGAAATGTGCAGCAGCAGGCAGACAGCTCCAGCACTCCTGGGTGGCATGGCATCTGGGGACAGGGCAGCTCTGCCCACAGAGACCTGCTGCAGGTCCTTCTGCTGCATCTTCAGTCGAGACCATGATAAGGCTGGGGTAGGATGAGGTCCTGGCCATCCTCAGCCGATGCAGGGAAGGCAGACCGCCGTCAGATGGGGCAGAAGCTGGGGATGCTGGCTGAGCTAGCTGATTCCTGCTCAGTCCGGAGGATGTTTGCATCCTAACCCTACTGGGGTGTTTCATATGTGGTTGTTGTGCAACTTGAATGGCATTTTAGCATACTCATATTAGTATACTCATATTCCAGGCTGGAAAATAAGGGCAGAGGGACAAACCTGCTCCACTGCAGGATGCAATGAATCAGATCTGAAAGCAAAACAGGACTGTGTCCTCCCTGAGTGGCCTCTGCAGCTCCCTGTGTGGTTTACCCCATCCTCTCCATCACCTCAGGAGCATGGCAGCTCCTGGGAATGGCAAGCTGTTGGAGGCTTGGAGAAGCAAAGCGGGGAGCAGAGGCAGGAGCCAGGGCAGACACGAAAATAAGACGGTCCAGTGAGAGAGCTCCTGGCAAGGGGGGAGCACTGCTTCTTAAAATAACGCCTCCCCTCCCTCCTCCTCCTCCCCTCTGCAGAATGCCTCCCTTGCACGAGAGCCACAGTGGTGGTGAAAAGGAAGCCGAATGCCACTGGCTTGATGGGCCAAGCCATCCAATCCCCCAAAGGCAAGGACTCCTTCCAAGGCTCGTGCTTAACCATACCACATGCTCTGGGCGTCCTCAGCCCCCGGCAGCGATCCGTCGTGGGTCTGATTCAAGGCGACGTACAGTAGTATCCACAGGCACGACGCTGGGCCTCCTGCGGGTTCCCAGGAGGAGGGGAAAGCATTTGGATGGGAGCGCTGGCTCCTGGGTAGATTGTTTGCTTTTCTTTGTTCCGCCTCCTTCCTTATGCATCTCATTTTTATTTTAAGAAATATTACCCCGGCGGAGCTGTGTTTTGGGAAAATCGTGCCATGAGGATCCAAACTATTTGAGCTATTTGAGCTGTTTTGCTTACAAAATGAGTAAGAGATGGGGAGGGAAAGGCTCCCCCTTTCCAGCAGCAGAGGCAGTGGGCCGGCCAGCGGGTCCTGGCAGCTGGAGACACCTTTCAGCTGACAGTGCCTTGCCTCCTCCCTGGCAGGGACATGCCTGCCTGGAGTTGCATCTCTGCTGCCAGGTAATCGGGGACCCAGGTTCACGCCGTGCCAGGGGCAGCTTTTGCTCTCCCAGTGCACCATCTGACAACAGCAGCAGCTTAGCAGGTTTAGGCATGCAGCACGTCCTGAAAAATCAGTGGGACTCCTGCATTTAACTTCATTCATTGTGGTATCCTGCAAGTCCTTGAAAGCTGGCTTGGGAGCTGATAACTTATGCTGAACTTTGGTACAGGAGAGCAGGAGGCTGTGCAGTAGCATCCACAGGGGAGGGAAGAAGAAGAAGTGGTGGGAGGGAGGAGGAACTTGGCACTGGAACCTGGTTATGGGGAGCAGCAGGTACCTCCAGAGCATGGAGCCTGGGCAGCTCCTTGGGCCAGCCACCCCCAAGCTCATTTATGCTGCTTGTCTTTCCAAGTCTTACCCTTCTTCACCCAAGGAAAAGAGATTTTGGTTAAAAAACACCAGATAGAGAGGAGGGGGGGCTCCCCTCTATGCTGCCAGAAAACCCCCTGCCAGAGGAATCCACCTCCACATTTACCTGGACTCTGGTGGGCTGCAGACGGTGATCCATAGTCTCAGCAGTTACATTTTCAGGCAATATGACAGGGTCACTTGGAGGTATGATACAGGAAGGTATGCACACAGCACCTGTGGGAGGAGAGAGAGCCTTGAGGACTTCATCAGGAGCTAGGCAATAGTGTTTTACAGGAGGGCACCAGACCCAAATGTGTAGGCGCCTCACTAAGAGTGAGACTAAGAGGCAGACGTAGAAGAGACCCTTTTCCTCCCAACCTGGGATGACAATTCCTTCCCCATATCCTGAATTATGCAAGGGCCTACAGGAGTTGTGGCCAGTTCTCTTCTCCCAGATGAGAGGAAAATTGAACACACCCTAAGAGAGAAGTTCAAACCCTGAGGGCAGAACATGGGATCCAGCATGAAAATAAGTCTGGCCTGAATGCTATGGGATGTTTGTTGACATGTTAGGAAGCATCTTTCATAGTTTTTCTACCACACTGAATTCCCACTGCCTTCCTATGACCCAGGAAGAAAAAAAGCTGCAAAGAACACCTTGTAAAACCGGGTGGATCCCAGCCCTAACCCCAGCCTCACATCAGGTCTGTCCAAAGCTTAACCTTAGCAGGCCCTGCCCTTAGACTCGCCTCAGCCTGTTTTGATCAGACCTGGATAACTGGTGTGTTTGCTTTGAAGCGATACTGGCTTTGCTCAAGCATCCTGTGCAACAGGATGCCAGACAAGATGCAACGACTGTGACCGAGCATTGCAGCTTTTCCTGAAAGCACAAAGCAACCAAGTCCTGGAGAAAGAAATGGATGATGTGGTCCCTCATCTGGTGAAAGTGCCCTGTTACACACGATTGTTACTGCGGCTTTTATCTAGGACATGCCACATTAACCCTACAAACTGTCAGCAGTTGTAACAAGTGGAGAGACCTTGGAGGGATGGAGGGCTAGAGATTAGGAAAATTACTGCAAAGGGCTGGGTTTGCCCTAGAGATGACTCCCTGCTCTTTCTGAAAGGGGAGATGCTTACACTGGAGCCAGCTTTAGCTTTGAGCCTTGCCCATGAGTACAACCAGGGCACGCACAAGGCTAAAGCCACCCCTGGCTCTGTGTTTAGAAAGAAGACAGATGAGAAAACGGGGCTTTTTTCATAGATTTAGTGGCGATTGGTACAAGAAGAGGAGTCATCACAACCTTCAGCTCTCTGGAAGGACCGAGTCAACATAAGGTTTGGTTTTCTGTTTAGCTTTCATCTGCCCTCACCTATGCCGTGCCCCTGCTCACACTTGTATTCCACGAAATTCAGCTCCGGGGGCGGTGGGCAGGTGCCCTGTAAGCTCTCACACAGTTTGAACTCCTCTGTCCATAAGCCCTCCTTGGTGCAGACAATGGGAACCTGCAAAGCAGAAGAAGAGCAGCCAGCATTACTACTGGCAGCAGCAGGGCTCACTCTGCCTGGCCACTGCCCAGCTCTGCAAGGAGCAAAATGCGAGGACCCCGCTCCTGCCAGTGAAGCGCAGAGGGAAGTTCTCCAGGGCAGCTAGGTTGCAGCCCTCTGGTCCAGTCTGTGGGTGCTTTGCACCGCTGACCAGCAAACTGTTTTCCAGCTGCTGCTGGATCTCATCAGACGGGATCGACCACACTTCTTTTGGCAAGACCCAGCAGCCTCCATCCCTAGGCAAACCCTGGATTAGCAAGCCCACTGCAGCAAGGTTGCCTATCATCCCAGGCGAATGCATTCGCAGCAGCTCCCAAAACCCTTTCAAAGCCCTCTACTTTTGTTTTCCGACCCTTTTCACTCAAGACAAACAGGCTTGCTTAGGACCACTGCTTTTTGGAAGGGTCACCAGGGAGCAGGAGAGCATCCCCAGGCAGCCGTGCACCCTGTGTCATGGCTGGTATCCAGCAAGAAAAGCTTTGGGTTTGCAGGGCAACTGCTGTTTGGTGGTACAAGGACATTTGGCCCTGGGAATGGCCAAGCTGCTGCGAGGCCCCTCTGCACAGTGGGGCACAGGGAGCCCTGCTGTTCTCAGGTGCTCTGAAGCACAACAGTTGGCTGATCTCTGCCTCCCCACCAAGTCACTCACCTTTTGTCCCTGCGGCTCGCAGTTGAGGATGCACTGGCTGTCCAGCTCAAAGCCCTGGGTGCAGTTGTACATGCCCTCAAAGACGGGAGGAGGTGGCTCACACACCACAGGGACACAGCGTCCCTCTTCCCACTGCCCGCTCTCCAGGCACTGGACCTTCAGGAACTTCCTGGGGAAACACAGATGCCAGACTGGGCTGCGGTACCGCAAACAAACCCCACCTCAGCTGTACCAAGCATCCCACAGAGGTAGGAGCAGCCTAGAGACACCTCTTCCTGCAGCACAACTAAGCCCCCCGGCATGGGGCTTTCCCATGACATCCCACCCCTCACCACAGGCAGGTCGTCCTGAAGGCACAGCCCATGCTCAACCAGGACCTTTTCTTCCTTTCACTGAGGGGATTGCACTGATTTAGGAGCACTGGATGCTTTTTCCTTGCACTCACTGCCCCATTGCTCCCTGCATCTCATGACGCCCCTAAACCATTCCTCTCTGCCCCGCAACCCCTGCGGGTCCTGGGCTGCTTTGTCCCACCGCCAGTAGCTACATACTTTGCTGGATGGAGTGAGCCTCCACCAGTAAATCCTGCTGGCCTGTGCCCAGCTACTCCTGAGGCTCCTCTTTGTACTCCAGCCAGATCTGTCAATCCCGCTCTCACCAAGGGGCTGTCGTACTGCAGCAGACCAATACCATCCTGTGCTGCTAAAACAGCCCAGGCACAAACTACTTGCCAGAAAACTGATGAAAAAGAGAGGAAGAAAAAGTCCAGGAGCGGAGCCCGCTGGCTCTTCAGTCTCCTGTCCTTGGCAGCGATGGAGACACCGCATCTTTTACATAGAGGCATCAAAACCCCACAAGGCATCAGGCTGGCTGGGGACCCTTCTTACAGAAAAGGACACGTCACCGCAACCCCAGACTTTGACACACAGGTTTGACAGCACTGATGGGCTTTACGTGAGCCAGTGCCGATTGCTCTGTCCTTAATGAGACTTCTTTCCCCACCCTCCTGTCCTTCTTTACTAGACAGCCTGCTCCAGCTGCTTGCCCCTGCCCTCTCCCACCACTGGTGCCAGCAGGCAGGGCTCCAGACGCCACGTTATGGAGTTTATAGCATGCCACAGGTACACAGAGAGGGGTTTAACTGGGTTAGAGAAATCCCTGGGGGGAGGCACTAAATTGCCTCTTAGTTCTGAGTGGCAGCAGACTGCGTAGGACCACCCAGCTGTCCCCCAACACACGGTGCAGGGTCATGCAGCCCAGAGCAGCAAAAGGATCCCATCTGCACCCCACTGCCAGACCTAGGGCAGGAGCTGGTGGCCATCCCCATCCCATTTCTGCTGGGAACTTCTGGGTGGGATATTTGAGAGCTTTTTGAAACGTTCTCATCTTTTTAAATATTTGCAGCTCTTAGAGGTTCCCCTTCTCCCTTCAGAAATCAGGGATCTGTTTTTCCTCAAGACTGTATAAAGGCAACAGTAGGTTCCTGCTGTGGTGAATTCAGGCTCCAGCAGGTAACGTGGAGGCAGGCAGGGGAGGGGATGGGACATGGCAGGTCCCCCAGCACAGAGCTCTGCACAAATCTTCCCATCAGACAACACCAGGAGCATGGGTGGCCACGGTATGATCACCTGAGCAGCAAGTGGTGCTGCAAAGTCACCCCAAGAGCAGTAGCCTTGAATTGACTGAAAGGAACTGCAACTACGTACTATTTTGGAAGGGTGGTGAGAAGGAGCAACTCTGGTTCCCATTGTGGGCATCTGTGGTTTCAGTCCATCCCTAATTTACCTTTCTTGGTTGCTCACCCTTTCCACTGGGATGACGGTCACTGCCTTTAGAAGATGTCCCCATCAGACCTTGCCTCCTCCCATATCTGTCTGAGTGCTTTGCTTTGCCCACCTTTAAAGGTGAGCAAAGGCACATACCAAGAGGTACTGATATGTGTTGGATGTCCAGGTCCTCAGGCAGCATTCTCCCCTTCTTGAATTGCCTGGCACACAGGGTGTGATCCAGCTGTACAGCTTGCAAGGGGTAAATCCCTGGGGGTAAAGCTGATGGCATTATGGCAATAGGAGCAAACTGGTGGTGCAAAGCCTCACTGCAACGGCGATGCCTCAGGCACTGAGCAAACTCTTACAAACACTGGCCACCAGGGTATAACCAATGAAGCCACTGCACCTCCCTGCAGCTCCTCTGAATTGCGGCAGAGGCCCTTTGCCCAGGAACCATGGGAAGACCTGAGGAGAGGGGCCGAGCGTGGGGAGAACATGCCGAGGGAGCTGCAGTTTGCACAGGTGCACGCTGTGATTCAGATCCCCATCATCTTCACCAGGGCTCCTCATCTTGATGTGGTGCTGGAGTGACCCCAGCGGGGGATGGTGCTGTGTATGGCCTCTCCCACCTCTCCCACCTCTCCCCAGACCTGCAACCCCCTAGATCTGGAGGGAGAAACTGCCTTGCTCTGGAGGCTCACCCTACCGCCAGCATTCATGCTGGGGAACTTCAAACAGGGATAGCCTGGGATGACCCCAGGGTAGAAGGTGGCGTGTGGACCACTGCCACACATATGAAGTGAGCAGTTTATATTAAGGCACAGAAAAGGGAAAGGAGAGGCTTTAAAAAAAAAACCCCAAACTATATACATATATATATATATATAAACCCACAACCTTGTAGCAGCTTGAAATTTCCAGACCCCCCAACTTCTTCTGATCTGGGTTAGAGGCATTTCTTGAGGATTAACAAGGAAGCCAGGAAAATTGGAGTCAAAGCTTCCCCCTCCACCAGGCAAGCAGATGCCTAATGGGTAGAGGAGGCAGGGGAGACGTCTGAGGCCAGCAAGGGCTGCGTCTGCCATGAAGGCATGAGTGCTTGCCCAGCTCTGGGAGCTGAGCACGCAGGAGCCTGGCTGGGATCCAGCCATGTCCTGGGGCAGCCAGCTTGGGGGAACTGGGTCTGCTGTACAGGTACCGTGATATATGAGCCTAAAGCCTCATCTCCCATGGCAGGAGAGTGACAGCTTCAAAAAGAACAGGGGGGAAGCAGGAAGATTTGCCAGTAAATTGAAAGAAAGCAACATCAGCTTTGTAGGACCTCCACTGCTGTGCTCCAGGCTGGGCAACCTGGGCTGTAAATCTTCATCTGAGACCTTAGAGGTGGAAGTGACACAGGAGTCCAGTTGACAGCCTGTGTTTTCTTTACCTGGCTGCTTGTCTTCCTCAGCTGTGCAGGTGTTTGCCTTTTATCTGGAAGGGGCCAGATGCGTGCAGAAGCAGCAAGTGCTCCACACTTTTGCACCTACCTCAAACATACAGTGACCTGGTGCCCTGCTAAAATCCAACACTCCCAGGGTTAGGCTGTCTGCTTTGCCTGCTGCAATCTGACAGTTTCCAGCCCCTGGTCTGCTAAGTCCTTCCAGTCCATTTTCTCCTCCACATTCTCCCACCTCCTCTCCCTCTTTCATGGTCTCCATAGTCTTTGAACAGGGAGAGGAGGCGGAGGGGCCGACATCTCCATGGAAGCTCATCAGGGAGCTGGGCTGTCTCGTGGCTCCCTTGATCTCAGGTCAAAAAGCAGGCTGAGACTTTCAAAGCTGCTTGAAAAGTCCTGGGTGCCCAGTTGTTCTTTGCTTCATTCCTTCAAGCTAGCAGAAGGGGCTCAACCCTTCACAAAAGTAGCTTTGAGATCCCAAAATCTCTTCTCTCCAGGAAGTCATCCCACATTGGGCAAGTGAAACAACCATTTTGCAGGGTCTGACCTTTTTGGTCCCCAAACTGAGAGCATCCCCCCAGCATTAGAGTGCTCCTCTAAAGGATGTCCTAGATATTCCTGTTGGAGATCTGTTTCAGATGGCATTTTGTGGTGGAAGCAACAGCAGGGACCACTGCAGGGGTGATGCCCATTTTTCCCAGAGTATCTGACCTCTGACTTTCAGGATGGCTCTTTTCAATGCTGCAGCCCTGGATGATGCCAAACATTGCTCCTTGGCAGTTTCTTGCTCTGTGCGGTCCATGTGGGTGGATTGGTGCTGCTATTGGACAGATGCTGCCCAAAACCAGAGATCTCTCATCACAAAGCACAAATGCATATGTTAAGTTCCCCTTGTTAGAGTTATTTTGGGGTCAGATGTGAAATAGCTTGGCAGCTGGAAACCAGGCTGTTATGTGGGTTCTCCAGGCTGAAAACAGATTTCCTTTAGGAAGAGTCAAAGAAGATCTACCCTTCATGTCAGCATCATCACTCAGATGATCCTGCCAGCAGAAAGGCAGCAAATCTCTGGCAGGATCTTGATTACACGATCAACATTTTCTCGAGGATTCCTCATTGACAAGCAGTGATTTCTGAAGGACCTTTCCTCACTCAGGTTAATAGATAAAAGCATCTTCTCCGAGACAACAGATTTCTTTATCCCCTTTCTCTTCCACTTAGGCTATGGGAAATGAATTTCAACTAAGATTGCAGGAGCCTTCTAAGTAACCTTACTGCCCCTGCAGTAAAATTCAATAAGGAAACAGAAGTGAGGGAATAATATGAGCATCTGTGTCCAAGAGCACCTCCTCTTGGATGGAGACAGCTGGATCTCAGCCATGGTTCAGACCTGCATAAGGTGGGCACCGTAGCTGTACCACATAAGGAGCAAAGCCCCAGGGGTTGAGTCCCCAGTCCAGCTGTAGCAGCCATGGTGTTTTATGAGGTGCATGAGAGAGGAATGCACTGCAGAAGGCTGATCAAAAAAGCAGCTAGTCAGGAGGTGATGCTGAGCCCTGGATGGGTGGGGCTCACATTACAGCTTAACCATCCCTGTCCATGGGGGATCCAGAGCCATCCCTGAAGGAAGGTGCCTGCAAGCAGCTCCTAAAGGAAATGACCAAGCTTCTTATAACAGTGCTGTGAGAAGATGAGCATGTCTTTCACATAGTAGCAGAGTGGGTTGATCCCTTGGGAACCCACAGACACCCAAAAGATGCCTCTACACCTTCCCTGGATAACAGTCGGAGCCCCATAGCTGTTGGCGAGGCCAGCTGGGGGGTTACACTCCTTCCATCATTCCCCTCTAAAAAGGCATGATCACTAGAGCTAGAAGAATAATTCAAAGGGAGCCTGACTATTTTTCTGTTTCTAAGGTTGGGCTAGTTAGCTGGCACGGGGATTCTTCAGTGTCAGCTGTGGATCATGCCTGGCTTTTGTCCAATATCTAGTATACATGAAGAATCTTGCTTTCTTATGTCCATCAACACCTGCATGACACTAGATACTTTAGCAAGGCTGGTGCTTGCTGGGTTGGTGGGCAACAGGGAGACAATAGATCAAGAACTCCATTTGCTGAACCCAGAAAGAACCCAGCAAGGCTTCAGAAGACCCCAAAACCTGATGTCCAAGTCATCAGCTGAGACCCTGCTCCCTCACCAGTACATCAGCAACCTGCACCCCACTAGTCCTGGACCATTCCAGAGCTCTCTATCACCTTCTCCAACAACTTGCTTTCTCCAAAACTGGCCTGAACAAAGAAAGCAATCTCTCATTCTGGCAGCTCCCATCCTCTGCCTGCCAGGGCTGAAACACCAGAAGGATTTCCAGCAATACAGCAATTGACTGGCCTGCTTACTTGCTAGTAGCTGCTACTCGCTACACATGCCAAGGGGTTTGTACTCATGCTGAGTATACACGCAGAGCTCCAGATGAGAGGGTACACCAGCATTTACACTTCCAAGGAAAGGCTTTTCCTTTGATTCAGGCCACTCACATAGCAGCTAATCTGCACAATAAGAAAACAACTAAGTTTCTTCTTCTGTTAATGTTTTTTTGCTTACAGTAACAGGATCGTACTCTACCATTAAAGATGTTAGATGAATTAGTAGTAATGATAATAGCAAATGGGAAAATGCTATGTCAATGTGCATTGCTATGAAATTGTAAACCACTTTGCATGATTTTCCTTGATGTCTCACAGGCTGTTCAGACCCATAGGGAAGTTACACACAAATCAGAGGAGGCTTGGGAACTCCCAGAGGGCATCCTTCTTACCAGCAGTTGCTGCAGCATGACTGAGATGGCCTAACTTTGCAAGCTGTGTTGATCTGATTGCACATCCAGTGCCTGAAATGCCACAGGCACGCAAGCTGCTCCACAGTTTGCAAAGCAGTCCATGTGATTGTAGCCATAATCATAATTTGCTTAGCTCCCCTTGGCCCAAGAAATGCTCCTAACACTGCAGAAAGCTGTTTACAGAAACCACTTCCTTCATTACGAGGCAAGAAATTTGGCAACTGCTTCCCAGTGCACAACAACCCTACCCCAGAGCAGAGTAGAGATGAAGTCTGCATCCAGTTAAAACTGGAAGGGGGCATTAAACAATTAGCACATAATTACCTGATTTGAGCTAGCATCAAGACTCTGGGGAGGACGCGGCCAGTGCCAGGGAATCTTTAGTGACCGTACCCAACAGGGACCTCAGCCGGAGGTGTCGCAGACAAAATGCTGCTTTACCCCCCAGTGTCACAATATTGGCTGAGTGCAGGGCTAGTGAATCACCAGGAATTTTTCCCCGAAGCATCGGGAAAAATCTTCTCCAACTGAAATGCCAGTGCTTGAAATTAAATTTAGCTAAGACGTGCAGTCAGTAAAATGTTAACCCTGACAAAAAACATTCATTCATTCTTACAACCCCAGGTGCCTTGATCTATGTTTTATCACTTTTAGGACAGAGAGAGCAGCTCCAGGGATCTTCCAGCATCTTATTACATCTAATTACTTGAGAGTCCAGAAACACTTCTGTACATGCTTAATTTTCAACAACTGACAAGTACATTGAGGTGTACAGGAAAATTCGCATGCTTCAGGTTAAGGCATTTAACGTACATATGCATGCAACCGCAGCTTGCGCCTTGTTCCCACCTGCTTTACCTAAACCTAAATGCCTCTTGTAACTCAAGAAATCTGCACGACCAGAGCAAGCTGCTTTGCCTTGTACCTATCAAATCAGCTCTTCGAGACTGCCATCACCTCTCTGCCTTGCTTATGTTGTGAGGAGGAAGGAAATGGTGATAAGAGATCTGCCACAGACTTACTTCTTAGGCTTGCCTGCTGTGTTCTCAGCCACATGGTATCCAGGCTTGCACTTGTAGCGACAGACTGAGCCCACATCGTGGTTCCCCTGCAGGCACCGCGGTACCAGGAGCTTGGCGTTGGCCACTGCAGGAGGCACGTCACACTCCAGCTTGCAGTAGGCTTCGGGGAGTGACCAGAGACCGTCTTCCAGGCAGGTCAGCCACTGGTTTGTTCCTGACTCCAAAAAAGAAGCAGTGTGTTGGGGTTACAGCTGACCTGGGGATGGAGTCCTGCTGAGGGAAGCTCAGAGCAACCAGCAAAAGTCCTCTTGCTAGAGTGGGTACTGATGCCAAGAGAGGCAGCAAATGTGAAGACCATGGACTCCGTTGCATGGTTGGTCAGGCTGGGGCAGAAACCAAATTCCTTGAATGCAGACAGAAGTGGGGAAGGGACACCTTCTAGGGAATGGAGAAAGGATCTTGGTTCTGCAAATCTCCCCAAAACTTTCCCTTAAACTTCCCCTCTCTGGTGATGCCTCAGGAGAGCCTTCAGTGGGCTGGGAGCTTTTGTGTATGACAGCTATCCATCCTATTTGGTTCAGCCCATCTCCATTCTCCCCAGGTGCTTTTTGCAGCTTGTCCTTACCTTCCCTTACAAGCTGTCATACCCTGTGCTACATGTGCACCGCAAGTTGGAAAGTGCCAACAGGACAGATGTGGGAGCCTTAACTGGTGTGACCGGGATTTCACACCACCCGTTACTAAAGGCTTGGGTTGAGTATTACAGCCTAACTCTCTGTCGTCCGTCTAGAGAAAAGGGGGTTTAGTAGACCCAGCTAATGGGTGGCCAAAATTGCACAGCTCTGGGTGCCTGTGGTAAGTGTCCATGACTGCATCACCCACATAGTGTGGATGATGGATGGTTCACTGGGAACTGCTGAGCAAGAAAAAAAAGCTGGACTGGAGTGAATGCAAGTCTTCCTACTGAGGGGTTTGGATCAGCAGGTTCCTGGTGCGGCCAGAGTGCTCCACACTCCCTTTGAGCATCGCTTTCTTTTTATAGGATTGCTGCTCTGCCTACAATGCTCTTGGACCAGGGACAAGACCATGCCTCCACACAGCGCCTGCATTCCTGGCGGGCCAGCACTGCCGAGAGTCTCCCCCCACCTCTGAGCACTGTGCAGCCGTGTCATCCTTTCCTTGCCTATTCTTAGCATTTATTAGCCTTGAGAGATTGCCCATAAGGATGCAAGCCTTTGGGGAGAACAAGCATCAGGCACGTCCCTGCATTGACAGCTCCTCCGAGTCGGCTGATCCTCCACAAGTTTACCCACGTGGCTCGACAGCCTTGGCTGAGCACCACCAGCCATCGTGTCAGCCGCTGGAAGTCACTCAGGGCGCTCCATCAAGGGGACGTCTTCCCGCCAAGGGAGCCCATGGCAAACCTCCTGTTGACTTCAGCGGGAACAAGAGGTGGCTGTGAGTGAAACATCAGATTAAAGCCCTGCCCTCAGCTGACCCACCCAAGGCAATGGGCATCGGTTCGTGCAGAATTTAGGCTGTCGAGTCATCATTTGCATGTTACCCTTTGATCAGCTCACACTGGGGATCTGCCGTCATCCCCCCGTCATGAAATGAGACCTTAATTCCCTGCAGTTTTTGCTCCTTAGATTTAACTTTAAAAAAAAAAAAAGTAAATTATTTTCATACGTTTCAGCTATAAATGTCTCCATAAAATAGGGCACCCATTAAAATGATTTGTTGTATGTGATTGTTCAGAGCAAAGGCGCTGGTGGAAACTCACATAAAGTCCCAATGCTTGAAGCTGTCAAGGCAATTACCCTCCAAATCCCATCCAGCCCAGCCCTGTATAGACAGGAACAGTAGCTCTCTTTCTCCAACTTGGCTTAAAAACATTCCTGCGGCTATTGATGGAGTCGGCAGAATGAAAGCCAGGCCATGGCGTGTCTGGGGGACTGTTGTGTGTCTGTGGTGGTGAACATCTCCCAGACTGCTCTGCAGCTGTGGGCATCAGTCTCTATGGCTCTATACAGTCCCAGGACTCCTGAACCACACACTTTCCCACAGCCACCAAGCCACTTTTGGCTCTCTGGAGTCCTCTCTGTCTGTCTGTGCCAGCTGCCTGCACACTACTTGCTTCCCTTGTCCCCACAATGGTAGAGGCTGCCAGACCTCACCAGCTATCAGGAGAAGACATCCCTACATCCTGAGGTGGATGGATAAGGGCTGCTATCCAGGGGATAGGAGTCAGAGGGAATTATCCCCACGCTATTGTGTCCCTGCTGAAGGGGGCTGGATGCCCACCATTTTGAGAGGTCTCTCAAGAGCCCACCTGGCTGGGAATAGCCAGGATAACTGGGAAATTCAAAGTTGGAATGCTTTGTTTGAATGGCTTGGGACAGGCATGAAAAGGTAGCACCAAACAGGGAGAGTTAAATCCCTCAGCACTCCAGACTGTACCTTGAATCTTGGCTGGGTGGACGCAGGAGAACAAGCATCTTTGCAGGTATGTGGTCCCCTTGGGGCAGGAGAACTCAGCGTAGTACACATGGGACTGGTCAGGGACACCGCAGTCGACAGGGTCACAAGTCACAGTTCTGTCCCACCGCCCCGAACTGCATCTCAGCACCACCTCCTGCTGCAGAGAAAGCAAGGCTCCATCAGACCCCTGCAAGTGAGCTTTAATCTATTGGTTTGCCACCACAGGAGAAAGGGCTGATCCAGGTTTCAGGACAAGGAGAGCTTTCCCCCATTTTTCCTCCCCCAAAGTGTCCTTTCTTCCCATTCTGGACACTGAGTCACAAAGCCCCTACGTGTTCATGGAGTGATGTTTGTGGTGTGAAAGCAGCAAATGGCCCTTGGGGTAACACGCAAGCTACTTGCACAAGAGACCTGCTAATGCTTCAGCTGTAACTCCTTGCCTCCAGAAAACACTAGCTGCATGCACACTGAGCAGTGCCAGAGCACATTAAGGGAAAAAGGAAAATCCCTTCAAGATACACTACAACTTCCTGAGCTACAAGTTATTTCCAGCTCTGCACACTGCAATTTTCTCTCCTACAAGATCAAGTCTTACTTCAGCAGTTGACAGGCAGCTCTCCTGTTGATTGTTTTTCCCTAAATGCACTGATTCTCTCATGCCTCAGCCCACAGACCCCACTGAAATTAGAGGTTCATATAACCTCATTTACAAATCCTAATGACACAGTCTATCTTACAGAGCCGGGGGACTGCATAAGAACCTAACCCGCAGTGGTCCCACCACTAAACATGATCAACGTGTGCGACGGACTTCATCAAAACAGAGTGGTGGATGATGGTGTGCCATGAGCAACCTGGTCTAGTGAAAGATGTCCCTAGCCATGGCAGGGGGGTTGGACTAGATGATCTTTTAAAGGTCCCTTCCAACCCAAACTGTTCTATGACTTCCATTCCCAGACAGCTAACCCCAGCCCAGCAGCCCTCAGGCAGGGGCTACAGACCAAAGAGTTATCTTTCAACTGACCTACCTGATGTCCCCTCACTGGCTGAGTACAGCCATGCTGCTTGTACAGTCAAATGTGTGACCTGTCCTCCCAGCCAACATGTTTTGATTGAACCTGGACATGGTGGCTCTGAAGGACATGACTAAATTTGAATCTGGTACTCTTGGGTGTGCAGCAGGATCATGGTGTAGCTGAACCTGGTGGAGAGGATGCTCAGGGGAGAGCTGTGTGTGTTTTCTCAAAATGCCTCAATATGTGTAGGGTCACACAGCCAAACCTGTCACATCACTTGGGGGCTCAGGGCAGGGCACCTGCAAGCTGCTATCTGCCATGACAACCACATGGCGAAGCTCTGTCCAGAAGTTTCCCATCTCACTGCCAAATGCATGAAAACTGTCACTCCAGGCAGATTTATTTTGTGCAGTTTCATTTCAGAGGAGAATGGGAACATTTTGTTTTCCCTGGGCATGCTTTGGCCCACAGAGCCATGCGGTGGTGTAGTTAATAACCTCCCCAATGACGAGGGGTTGAGCCGTGCATCCCCAGCTGCCTCATTGCACTTTCCAGCACCTACCTCTCCTTCAGCAAACACCGATGGCTGCAGCATGGGAAACCTGCCTGCCAGGCATCAGGAGCACTTGAAACTCTCCAAGGGGCTGAGAGGTCCATCCTGTTGACATGGCCTGACTCACCTCAATCTGTCTCCACCCCATGCAAGTTCACACTCTCATTCAGGCAGGCACAGGGACCAACTCAGCCCCAAAGACTCCTGTTCCCCCTCCAGGAACAGCCTAAGGACAGGACACACTGTGCCCATGACCCTGCCAAGGTGACTGCCCAGACCAGAAGCAGCTCAGCTCCCAAGGACACATCAGTTCCAGGTCTCCTCTGTCAACAGCTAAGAGCCATACTGGCTTGTGGCTTTTACAAGGCATCCCCCAGCCCTCTGGAAAGCAGGGCAAACTCTTTCATGGTGACCTCTGTGCTGTCCCGCTGGCATGGGCAGTGTTATTGCAATGCAACACAAAGGAAGAAAAGCTCTCAGCGCTGTCGGCTGCCTCTAAATATAGTCGCTCTGCAATGACTTCATTTTTCCTGAGCCACTAACTTCAGCTTTAAGAGAGAAAATGTCTTAGGGATGTTTAACCCTCCCAGCAATGCCCATCTGGAGAACAGAAATATCTACCTCTCGCTCTGTGGGAGTGCATCACCCTGGTTTGGGACATCCCCTGCAGCAGCTTTTTGCCCAGCAGAACCATGGCCTGCAGGCAGCACCATGGTCTGCAGGCAGCTAGGAGGACTGCAACAAGGGAAGGAGAGAGGTCCCCAGCGCAGGACCACCAGCCACCAGAAAGAGGGTCCAGCACCAAAGCCTCCATTGGACTGAGGTTTGTTGGAAGAGCAGTAAAGAGATCAGGGCTGGAGGAACAAGATGTCCTGGGGTCACTCCAACCACCTCAGGGTGGTTAAACCTTTCTTAACTAGCACTCAGTCCAACAGGCTGCGAGGTCACCCCCACCCTGAGGTCCACTCACCTGCCTGGAACCCAGGCTCTTTCCATTGCCGGAGCGGAGGACGAAGCCCTTTTCGCAGGCGACAGTGCACGCCATGTGTCTCAGGCCATCGGAGGTGCAGTTGAGGGTGGCAGTGTGAGCAAGCAGTGGCTGCATGCAGCTTCCCAGTCCTGCACAAGCACCATGGACACAGCTATGGAGGAGAAGAGGGAAGGGATCAGCAAGCAGGTCCCAGGGCTTCTGCAGCAAGGAGGGGCTCTCTCTGGGTGGCACCTGTGTGGGATGCTCAGTGGGTCACAGATGCCTACAGAGATGCACGCCTATCTCTCAGTCTCAGCTTCTTCCAGGTTTGAAGTCTCCTGACGATGATGCCAGGAGGGTACTTCTTCCCAGCACTGCCTTGGCTGGACCCAGGCCCAACCCCAGCCCACACCTTCCCACAGACCACCATGTCCTTCCAAGCTGACGAAAGAAAGCATGGCCTAACAATGCTCCCTCCAAAATCCATGCTCTCTGGTGGGGCTACTCCTGCTCCTCTGCCCCAGGGTGCACAGGCTACATTGCACAGAGCCTGCGCACAGCCTGGCACCAAAGGGAGCAAGAGGAAGGAGACCATGGGGAGAGGGCAGGCAGGTGACATATCCAGCACGGACACAACTCCCATAGCCAAAGTGGGAAAGTTTATATCAGATGGTCCTATCAAGCAGCACTCCTGAATGCACAAGGAATAACCAACAGTCATTGTAGCACCTTCCTGAGAGGGCTGCAGCTTCTCCAGCAGTGAGGTAGTCTCTACCACATGACATTTTCTCATCTCCAACATGCTCAAATCATACTAGACACCAGAGAATTTGTGGCAACAGATGACCTGAAACTGTGCTCTGCGGTGCCATAGGGAGTACACCGTTAGACTTATACATGACTGCAGCCACTCACGTGTCCTCCCGTACATACTCTGCTCACACATGTATCTCAGACACAAGTGTCTGGGGACAGACAGTGGACAGCAAGCGATCTGCACTTTCCAAAGGCAACAAAGCCCAGACAGTAACATTGGTTATTTCTCCTTCCTAGTAACTTTTGAATCCACACCTCAATTTCAGTCAGCCTTAGCACAGAATAAGACAAGATTTGCAGCAACAGATGGTAAGGGAAAAAAAGATGAAGAGGCCTTTTTAAAGCCTGTGCTGATAGAAGGGCAACAGCTATGTCAAACCCTGTATTAGACATCAGAGAATCCACAGAGGATTCTCCAAGTGCAAGGGAAGGTTTAGCTGGAGATAGAACTTCTGCAGATACTAGGGAACCATCCATGAGATGTTCTTCAAGCTACACAGAGTCCTTCCCAGACCTGGCAGCAGAGTTGCCTTAGCCTCGTGTCCACACAGCCTGCAGTGGAAGGGAGAAGCTGAACATGCTGCAGCTGTCTCTTCCACTCCACTCTGGTCACCTTCCTACTCTGCTTTGATTGTCTTCAGCAGCTCTGCTCTTCCCACAGGCTCACACAACATTACAAGCCTGTGCATGTTGACATCAGGTTCTTTGGGAACAAGATCATCTCAACATGCACCTGTCCAGCTCTGGAGACTCAGCAGTGGCTACCAAGGTGAGATGCAGCTAAAAGGAGGAATTACCCTCCTCAAGTTACAAGACGTCTTGGTAAAGCTTGCAATGTGTCACCCATCCCTGGGAAATAAACAGCCCCCTCCTCACCACAGCAGCTTCCCACCAAGGACCAGACATTTGGCACTGATTAATTAAGCATCACAAATAGTCCCACAGTGAAGAGGAGTGCCAGCCAGGGGCCTATGGTCTCCATGAATGAAATGCAGCCAATAGATTAATTACCTAGGATGGAATGGGGCCACGACACAAGTTTGACACAACAGCGCCCACAAGAAAATGCCCTGGTTATCTGGCAGTCAGGCTTTATCTTTTACCTAGTGGTACCAGTGCAAAAAAATGACAGCAGCCTTCCTGAAGCAGGGACAGAGGTGCTGCAGTTTCAGGTGATAACTGGGGAGAGAAGGGAGGGAGGTGTACCCGAATGCCCCCGCTCTGCTCCCTGCTTTGCATGGGGCTGCCGACAGATTTTGTGCACTGTGTTTCACTCAGGGGAGGCAGAGGCAGCCTTTGACTCTTGCATTCACACAACCTCTCCAGCCAAGGATGCACAGCTAGAAATCCCACGAACAACACACAAAAAACAAAACCAAAAAACCAAAAAAACAAAAAGGTGCCGACACAGACGTTAAGGGAATGCAATGTGCTGTTGACTGGACAAGTCCACTGAGCCAAAGACATGGTGGAAACCTGCAGGCCACAGCCCTGAAAGAACCAGTGGGCACGGGAGGGGACCACAAAGGAGAACAAGAAGAAAGGGGCTGTTTTTTCAATGCAGACCTGTTTATGAAGTGAGAAATGGTTTCAGGGCAGCTGCTGCAAATTCTTTCACTAGCTTGTATTTCCATTTGCTTCCTTTTTAAAGAATTTGTTTTATGAGCACAGCGTTTGTCAGGTCATTAGCTTCTGAGGGCATCTGGTACCAATTGTAGCCCTCTCCCCTCCCCTCCCGCAGTCACCTTCTCCAGGCAGTTGCTTTGCTCCCTGCCTGTGCCCCTGGTGCACGCACACACACAGACTCTCATCCCCGACTCCACCTCCCTGTGACAGAGCCACTGTCCTAAACCTCCTCACATGCGTGTCTCTGCACATCCATGTGTGAAAGGGGATGAGCTTCTCCTCCTTCCAGCCTTGCTTTTGCCTCCCATCCCCTTCCTCACCAGTCATGGACATGTGGGGAGCTGCAGCTGGTGCACAGCATCCCTCCTACCATGGCGCTTTGTGCTACATCAACACACCACAGCAAGAAAGTCCTTATCCCTGGGCGCCTCTGGGCATGTGGGGATTTATCCAGCCAAGTCACAGCCCACAGGTTGGGAAGCAGGGCTGGGAGATGAGTGGTGGGTTCACCAAGTGGCTGTAGGCTACAGGGAAGCTGGGTGGCCACAGCAGGACCCCAAGACACCTAACTTAATCTGATCGTGAAGTTGTGTCGACTTGTGTGCTCATCACAGCGCTGGTTCGGAGAACATGGTGACACCTCTGGACACATCCAGTTGGGCCAAGTGCTTGGCTGGAGCAGCCCTGCTGGTGCTGGTGGAGCGATGGCACATTGTCTGGGGCAGCCTCGGCAGTCGGGACAATGCTGTTATTAAATAACAAGTAACAAAGCACTGATCCTTTTCAGCGCTTCTGGACACATTTTGGTTTTCCACCTGTTCAGAAACGTAACCGGCAATGCTGGTATGAAGTAGATCAAGAGATCAGCAAGTTTCTTACTGTATTATTATATATGCAAAATGTTATATAGATTAGATATACATAAGGGATTGATAATTATAGATCATAATATCAAAATCTTTCTTTTTATATGCACCACACAATACACTCATGCACACATTCTGTATGTGCATACAGATATATTTTGGAAATAATTGGCTTTCTCTTTGCCCCAAAAGATGACTAACTTATCGCCGTTTTCTCTGTGACTAACACCACCCCTATCCCACAAATACCCACTAGGTTTTATTTTGGAAATGATCCGAGACCTAGTGACTCAAGTTCTGAGAAGTTGTTCTCATTCTACATGTAGCTTTGAAGTCTGGTGCTGCTATGCCAGACCTGAAGAGGGGCTTGTGTCACTGAAAGCAGTCTGATTTTCTCAAATATATCAGTAAGCTTAAAAAAAAAAAAAAAAATTATAACCCACAAATACCCACTAGGTTTTATTTTGGAAATGATCCGAGACCTAGTGACTCAAGTTCTGAGAAGTTGTTCTCATTCTACATGTAGCTTTGAAGTCTGGTGCTGCTATGCCAGACCTGAAGAGGGGCTTGTGTCACTGAAAGCAGTCTGATTTTCTCAAATATATCAGTAAGCTTAAAAAAAAAAAAAAAAATTATAAGTATATATAATCTCTACCTACAAACTTTGCCTTGATTGCTTCTCCTTTATCATTATCAGCATCATCATCACTGCAATACTCTGGGCCAGGACACTCTTCAGTCTGATGCCATACAAGTGCAGGACAAAAAAAACCAAACAATCCAACCCCCCCCCCCAAAAAAAAAACCCAACCAAAAAAAAGCCATGCGGCCTGGCCCCATCATGATCCACATGCCTTACCAGAGTTCGGGTAACGTGATGGAATAAATCATTGCTCCCAGCCGCTGGAACACCCTAACGAAGGCTGGACGAGGAAATGGTGTAGTTAGCCCAGTTCTGATCTCAGCATGAAGGAGCTCTTTCTCCTTTTCATGATAAATGAAATTCCTGTATCGCAGCTGCAAACTCCTGACATTTGGCCATTTCTGATTCAGGCCGTATAAGATGTGGGACAAGCCAATATTTTTTTTTCTGCATGAAACATCCAAAAAAATTTCCATTTTTATCCCAGCATCTTTTGAAGCTCAAATTAATGATTTGTCAACATTTTCACAAAATACCAGGGGTTCTCTCCAAACTTATTCCACATCAGCACCAGCCTGCATGATTTTCTGGGCTCACCAACTCCCATGATTCATACATCAAAGAAAGTTTCAGATCTGGAAATTTGTGAAATTCTGCCTAGCAATGGCCCTAACTGCTCTGGAACGATAAGAGCTTTGTTCTGAAATGGGACCAATTCTATAAGCCAGAGCAAAATTTTTCCTTTGGGATCCTTCATCTTTCTATAATAAAAGCAGAAGGCAGCTGCCAGCAATAGAGCATGTTGAGCCAGTGGTGACAATGCTGGTAGGGAGACATCGTTTTGTTGTGACAAAATCCAAATTCTGAAAAGATGAAATTTCCCATTTTACAGCAATTATTTCACGGAACCCAGAAAATATTAATGGATTTACCCAAGTCAAGCTAAGCCAAGCCAAATACAGTGCAGCTGTCTAAAGTATAATAAATCATCCATAAATTGCTGCAGTATCTACCCAAGCTTTCAACCCAAAGGTTGCTGCTAAAACAGCCCTTATCATCAAGCTCCAACTCTAACAGAGGAAAATTATTATTAAAAGTTTATCTCATGGTGCACATTTTGAGGGGAGAGGGGTTTATAGGGGGTGTTGATGGAAAGGTAAAGGCTTCAGCCAAATCTCCTGAAGTTAAAAGTAGTCAGTGCATGTACTCTGGTGAAGTCTG